AGATGGCTAGGGGAAGCACAATAGTAGGTACACTCACTAGACAAGCCAAAAGCAAAGAAAGCTGAGGAGATTGCCAAGGACATCAATTACTAAATTTTCTCCTCAATCATCACAACACTAGTTGTGTCACTCTTGTTTTGTGCACTAGAGGGTGAAACATCATCTGATCCCTCAACGGTAGTCTGATATGCCCTATGCTGATTTTTCTTTCCTTCAGATTGGTTTCCCTTAGGTGGCCTAATAGAGCACTCTAACAATATGTCCACGCTTCTTGCAGCAGGTACAGGTGTTCTTCTTGCAAAGGGATGCCACATGCCCATATTCCTTACCTTTTGCACTCTAGATAACTCCTTTGATTTGGACTTATCAGTAGCCAATAACACAACATCTACTACATCAATCTTTGCATTCACTGTCAACTAAGTATCATGGGTAGGTACAGTATCTCTACAGAGGATATTAGATCTGACCACCTCATACTCAAGACAAAGATGCACCAGGAAGTGAATCACTTTCCACCTATCAAAGTGTTCCTTCAGAGCCTTGATACAGCAAGCTAAAGAAACTTCCCCAGTGTGAACAAATTCATACTCAATCCAGAGGTTAACAAAACCTGCATAGTTCTCCTGAATCTTCCTTTGCCCTTGTTTGTAAGAAAATGTCTTTGTATTAATCTGATACTGTCTCAACTCTCAAGATGTTGGACTGCTGATAAACTTTTTCCAAATAATCATACATCTTCTTTGCTGTCCTGAGACCCCTCATCAGGGCAGCCACATCTGTTGTAACTGAGATGAGAATCCAAGAAGCAATTTGAGCATTATTAATCCTCCAGGTTTGCAGCCCCTTTACATCAGTCTCTTCAAGTTTAGTGGTAGTTCCACCAACATACCCCCAGAGGCCCTTCACCTTAACATAGAACTGAAGATGAAATTGCCACAGGGCATAGTTGGTGCCATCAAACTTAATGGGAAGAATATGACCTCTTTCGAAAGCCATTGGAAGCATTACAATGAAGAGAACAATCACAGAAGAGATGAAAATAAGTGTATAACCTTTGATAGTCCAGAAAAGGAAAGCTTCCAGATGAATTGAACCAGAGAAGGGATCAAAACCCCAGAAATACAGATCTGATCTTCACCAAATTTTATGGGCTGAAAAAATAGCCTAGGGCAACACAAGATCTAAAACCTTAGCCCAAATGGATCACTCACTGAAGAGAAATATGAAAAATACTGACCTCAATGGTGTCTCAGTCCAAAAAATCAGATCTCCTTGTTCTGATCAAAACAGTCCAAGGAGACAGGAAGTTTTTTTTTTAAGATAGAAAGAATCAATGTAAACAGAAAAAAAGAACCAAATCAATCCCTAACACAGGAGAAAAGAGTCCGAAATCAAAGGAAAAGGGATTGAACTTGCTCTGATACGATGTCAGTGCAGTTCAAAATAGAGAAGTTGAACAGATATGTGGTGGTTAATGTAGGGGTGGTAGATAGAAGGCAACGTTGATGTCAAGCCTTGATTCAAAATCCAACAGAGTATGTTCTGAATCTAGGGGAAACCCAAAGAATAGTGGCTGGTTTTCTTTTAGTAGAAAAGATCTACTAGAAAATAAAAAAAAAAAAAAAGAGAAGAAGAAATTATTTGTTTCTCTAACACAAGTTCAAGAAAAGAAAAGAACAACCTTATAGAAACAGAGCTTAACTCATCTCTATCCCGCAGCCCCTGCCACAGCCACCCAGCCACGCCAAGCCCGCAGCCCCTGCCATAGCCACCTAGTCAAGCTCAGCCTGTGCCCACATGTGCTCAACCAGTGGCAACTCCAACCCTCACCTAGTTCCTACCCATGCCCACAGCCCAGCCCCAAATCATGCCTACAACCCATCCACCATCCACACTTGTGGCCCAGTCCCAGTCTATGCCTGCAAACTACACACAGCGCCAACCTGCCACCCAACCAGTCTGCTCGCAGCCCAGTCTCCATAATCCCCAACTAGCGATTCCCACAACATGATTAATCATTTTCTCACCACAAAATTTTCATTTTATAAAACTAAGAACTAGTGGTGCTATGACAGATTAGGAGCTAGAATCAAGTATTTTACACAATTGTGTTACACTTCTGATTGCACTAATCATTCCATGTACTGGTGGCCTACAACATGGTCCATCGCACCGCTATTGCACTCTATGGTAAATTCAATGTTGAGCTTAGTTCTTTTCTTCACTGCTACCCTTCCACTCATCGCAATCACTACAAGTTGCATGATACATGAATATACATTCATCGCATGACATATCACGCCATTTATCGCATCTCATCATGCCACTAATCGTATGACATAGCATGCCATCCATTACATTGCATGACACATTTACCCTATCATGCATTATCAATGGATAGGTTCACTTCTTTCCTTTAATTCACAATCATGACTACTCTCTTGCACACATCGCAATTGCTCCAATCTTTGCATCACAATTATCTTATCACCCTTATGCTGTGTGCGTTGTGAAATATAAACAAGTCATTAAATTACTATTCACCAGTATGACCAATCATATATTTGTCCATCACCACATGTCAGCCTTGCGTTAATTCTCAAACTATGTGCATTGAGAAAGTTTTTTAAGTTGACAATCGAATTCGTTGTGATTAGATACTAATCCAATGGCCCATCCCTCTACAGTTGCACAGAATGTATACTTCATAAAGAGTTTTTTTTTATAACATAAAGTGATTTTTTACAAGTCACCTTACCATTTCAAACCCTTCTTGCAATAGATATCTAGCAACCCCCTGTATTCTTCTTAAATGCATAGTTGCCTTAAATAATTTCTCTTAGGCACAAATCTTCCTTGCAATAGATATTTGACAACTTCCTTTTTGGAGTTGCTCCATCGCTGTCATCAATTCATCGTGATGGGGGGCTACCCTATCAATAGAGCATCCAACTTACACTACAAAATCTCAGACATTGCAATGGGGGGCTACCCCATTGCAAGTTACAAACCACACCCTTCTTTATCACATAGAACAATTTTCAAACCAATTTAGACATGTCCACCATCAACAGGGATTTCCCAAACCATACAATTCATACTACGCATCATACATCAGCTACCCTATTGCAAATCTTCCACCCATCGCATCAAGGGGCTACCCATTGCTAGATCATAACATGCAATATAAAATATATTATAGCACACTCATACAAAGAACGCCTAGACTAACCGCACCTTGCTTACTAACAGAAATACTTCTATTAGTAAGCAGGAGGCTATGACAAGGAAAGTGGATCTTGAAGTGACAAGACCCATTTTTAAAGACTTTGTCTACTAATAGAAATACTTCTATCAATAAGCAAGGGGGCTAATGTAAGTACATAAAGTTAGCCATTGCACCTCTTGCGATGTGCAATAGGCAAGACAACACTTGAGCACCCATCTTACCGCAAATCTCATATCACATTTTCACAAATTCCTTATCACAGCTTTGCATCCTCGTACCGCAATATTGCAATTATGTAGCACAATCATGTATCACAGTTTCACTCCACAGTTTCATACTGCAACCTCGCACTTAGCCACTCATCACAATTTCCTCAAAAACCCAAAGAAGGTCACAACTACCCACGTCCTCACATGTGCATGCTAGGAAAGGGCAGAAGCCCAGACACCGAAGTAATTGCATGGACACATGGTGATAACCTAACTAGTCTAAGTGGCACAAACAAATAACTGCATAATGAATTCTAAAAGGAACATTCCAAGAATAGGAACTTCCTAAGAAAAATCTATAAATAGGGGATCCTTGAGAGGATCCACAACAAATTCCTACCCATTCAGACCACATGAGTTTCCTTCCCGCAAGAGTTTAATTTCCTGCCTAAGATCCTCCCTCTCAAATCCAATCTAAAACCCTCTCTTTGCACACCCCCCCCCCCTCTTTCAGCCTCCTCGGCTGGAATTCCAGTATCGACGAACTACAGTGGCCTAATCCCTAGCCGGAGGGCATGTAAGCAGCCCCTCCGAAGGTTCGGCCCAACTCCTCTTCTTCCCCTCGGATTCAGCTTGCCATTCTCCCCAGACCTTCAGAGTTAGACCTTCACAGTTCCAAATCCCATCCCACTTACACCACCTTTCTCTTCAACGACTTTCTTTTCTCCCAAGGGCAAGTGTGGTTTCCTTGAAGTGAACCATGAGTTCTCCCAGTACTCAGACAGGCTCATTTTGAGTTGTTTGCTTTGTTAAATTCTGCAATTATAGTACAGGAAAGATCATAAGCTGATTTGACAATGAAATCCCCAACTATACTATGGGCATACATAAGTTTGTCCTCTTCTCCTTACCAAAAGATATTCTGGAAGCTGCCAATATTGAATTTGGTTACAGAAGATTAAGCAACAGTTAGATGGCCTTATAGGTCCATTATTGAATTTGGTTAAGCCAATTATCCGGTCTCAACTAACATCAATAAGTATTTCTTATGTATATAAGCCTTGATATGATTTACATTAGTCATATTACTTCCTCACATTTTAACTAATTGTGAAATGCAAGGAGGTATACCTTTCAATGGAACAAACTCCATTATGCATTATTGTTTGTAACTTGTAAGTAACATGGACGTTTGTAAATAATATATCCCTGCAATTGAGGGATATATTAGACCCAATTGCAGGTCTAATGTTAAACTCCATGCTTTCTCATAAGAAGTTGCGTGATAGAAACAGATGAAACCAGACATAACCTTTTCTTTTCTAGTCAAATGATCAAAACACCAAATAAAATAATAACAATAATAAATATTTCTTTGCAACTCATTTTTCTTAAATTCCTTAAATTCTGCAATGTTTTCATGAATTTCACCAGGTTGAACGAAAAGAAATAAGCTGTCATTTGCCAATTGCACAATCATGTCAAATCTTTCGACCTACAGATACAATATAAGGAAGATACATCTGCTTTCAAAATAAGAAACACCGAATCAAACCTACCTGTTGAATTATCTTACGCTTGTTGTGTCCAGCGGCGAGGTCGTCGAGATTAACGATCTTCTTTATATTAGTCTGCATATCCCGGACAAGCTTGAACTGCACATCGGACTGTAAAAGGGCTCGAGTGATCTCGTTCAGACATTCGTTAAGGACCTTCTCGTCGATGATGGTCGCATTGCTCATCTGCTGGAGAGCACGGGAGATGCTCCCCCCTAGCTGTGCTAACACCATGTTTCCCAATCGATCAACTATCTCTGCAATTCAATTCGAAAGGTGATAACCTTTATCGTTAGGTTTAGGGTTTCTTCACGGAACTGGTTACTTTCTCCCGGAACCGAATGATCTTGCTTCGCTTCAGAGCTGTGATGCGTGCGTGAGAGAAAAGACAGATATCGAGTGATGGTCGAACAGTCGAATATGAACCCGGCGAGAAGTACTCGCAGACGAGCTGCAGCTTACAGGGACGGCTATGGCCAAACTATTTCCAAACAAATCAGATCTCCTACCCACATTTCCTACCAACGTCCCTACCCACAAAATAAAAATTAGACAATGTCAAATGTAACGGGACCGACATTAAGTCCATCCCCCAATCAACCAATTACAAACCCAATTATCCAAATAACCTTTTTCTAACCTAAAAAATTAGGGAGAATGACGGTTTATCCTAATAATTCTTAGCCCCACAATATAATTGGGGTAAGCGTTAATTCGGAATTGATATCAATACACGCGTTTTAGGGCAGGTATGTTTGTGATGCAATGTACTTTTTCGAAAAATAAACATTTCCCTTTCTTAGAAAGAGGAACCCTAATCTTCTTCTCTCTTTTCCATAATCTCCATTCTATTCCCCATACCATTCTATTCCAAAACACTTCAATGTCATTTGGTTATTGGTAACCGGTGATGTAGGAATGGTAATGGGGGCCGAGGCAGGGCTGGGTTTTGCATGCCCCACCCCAACCCCAAAATCAAATGTCATGCCTAATCCCCATTCCAAATCCATCAAGTAGGGGTGAGCAAAAAAGACCGAAAAATCAAACCGACGAAACTAAACCGAAAAATGATTAATCGAATTGGTCGGTTCGGTGTTTTTAAAAAATCGTAGGTACTGGTTTGGTTTCGGTTAACCAATATAGAAAATCGGCGGTTAACCGAACCGACCGATATACATATATTTATATATATAATGCATATTTATTAATTTATAATATATAAAAATATAAAATATATAAAAATATACATAAATATTATATATATATGTATATTATTTATATTTTTATATATTATAAATTAATAAATATGCACTATATATATTTATAATATATTTATTATTTAAAATATAATATGATATATATTTATAATTTTTTATTACATATTTATATACATTTTATAATATATATTATAAAAAAAGAGGGGCGGAAGAACACCAAATTGGTAAATCACTTCACCATCTCCTTTCTTCCTTCTCTATTTCAAATGTAGTGTAAGTTTTGTTGTTTTTTTCACTAAAAACAAGGGTGGGAAGACATTTTCGACGAGAAACAAGGGTGGAAGCAGACCAGGAGTGATCAATTCGTCTTGTTCTTGAATCCAAGTAGGAAATACTTTTTCTACATGATTTCAATTGAATATGATGTAGGCGCAGGTAGCCCCATCCATTCGTAGGCTTAAACGTGTCAGGCGGCACCAACCAGAGCAAGTCCAATCAAGGTGAGAGCGCAGCAGGGCTCGGTGGGTTTCGGGGAACCAATGGCACGAAGTCACTTGGCAACCTCAGATGACCACACTCCTCACATACGGACTGCATCCCCACCGTCTGAGCTCACCTACCTCCAAATGACTCCAAGTATAAATAGGAGGTGACCCATGATAAAGGATTGAAACTTAAGCTCTCAAGCTCACACTTGAGATCTCCCATTCTCTTGTAGCCTCGTCTAAGTCCTCACACCTCAGACTTAGTCCACCCTACATCTCCCGATACTAACTTAATCGTTAGAGTCTCTGCCTTGGGATTGCACCCGAGGCCTCTGACGTCTTCTTCCTTGCAGATACCTCAACCACCTCAGGTACATCACACCTCAGACCTCGGACCTCGGGTACCTCAGTCATACCTCAGCTTAGGAGTGAATTTACAGTGCTGTCCTTAGCCCATTCTGAGCATCAGCAGAATCTATGCTACGAACAATATAGATGTTATTAATAAGAAAATAGTTAAAAAACACAAAAAAAAATGAAAAACATTGTGATGTTAAAAAAAAATGTTTCCCTTAATTGGGCCAAGAAGATAAACAGGTTGGTGTTGACCTGTTTTTTGATTATCAAGTGATAGGTCATTGTCGACCTGTCTTCTGACCTTGTTTCAAAATACAATGTTATACACGGTTGAAGATTTGTTGTGTTAAACACGGGTCGATGTTCACCCGTCATTCGACTCAGTTTCGATAATATTTTGATTAACGACAATTACATTTAAATTATATTACTTAAAGTAAATACCCTTTCAAACTATAATTAACGACAATTACATTTAAATTATATTAGAAACTATAAATAATAATATTAAATTCTAAACTATTAATAACAATAATTATATTATTTTCAATAATATTATTATTTTGAATATTTTATAGTTTTATTATTTAAGGTAAATACCCTTTCAAACTGTATTTAACAACAATTACATTTAAATTATATTCGAAACTATAACTAATAATATTAAATTTTAAACTACTATGATTAATAGTAATTATATTATTTTCAATAATATTATTATTTTGAATATTTTATAGTTTTACTATTTAAAGTAAATACCCTTGCAAAATTTAATTAACAACAATTACATTTAAATTATATTTGAAACTATAATTAATAATTTAAATATTTTAGACGTGTTATTTCAATAAAATAACCAAAAATAATATTACCAATAATTGAAATGGACAAAATATTTTAAATTAAAGAAATTGATGGGCAAAATATTGCTTAAGTTTGCCACATACATAGTATACAATTAGTACATTCAATGAATTTGTTATCATCAAAACACATAGTGTCAACATTATTCTTATGTGCCTTACTCCAAACCTATACGGATTTGATTGGGTACTACCGTTCAAAATATCACAACGCATTGGTCCGTATCAACTGATACATATCGTTCCAATAAGAACTTGATACGCGGAACGTGTATAAATCATTCGTTATGTTTCTTTTCGTACGTATCGGCCATACCGAATCTCTCATAAATTTTAGCGCTTAATTCAAATTCTCTCATTAATTCCTTTAATTAATGATCCCTATCATTAATTTTGTTTTGTTAGTGTATATTTAATTCCATATTTAATACGCATTGGTCCGTATCATGGTCATTTGATTTTAAATTTTAACAACCAAAGTCCACCAATGAGCCACACATATTTGTTTGCTATAATTATATGTATTTTTAATTTTAAGTACATTTTCACTTTTCTTAATGAGTGACAAGTTTTTATTAATAAATGCTAGAATTAATTTATTAAATTTTATATACTAATAAATATTAAGATTAATTATATTGGTTTATGAAAATTGACATTCACATTTTAGTTTTTTTGTTTTTTTTTTATTTTTTACATTTTAGTTATTCCATCATTTTTTCAATGGTTACAAATTGTGTCCCAATATGTCACACTTTATATAAACCATTAAATTATGGTTTTTAAAATTTAAATGACTTATTTACAATCATATAAAATTTGTAAGTATAGTTAGTAATATATTTTTTAAGTTTTATTTGAATTTTTTACCATGTTTATGTGTATATTGATTTTTCGTCTGTATCCATACGTATCTCAATACGTCTTTTAAAATTTTCTTTCTGATACATCTTGTGTTTTTGATATTTGAACCTTGCTACCCAAACCATACACTTAAGTAGTTTAACAGGTACTACTCAAACTCAAATGGTTTTGACCATTGTCCAAACCTAACCAGCTAGCCTTGTCCCTTGTGCGTCCTACCCAAACCTAAATAGATTACATGGGTGCTGCCCAATCACTTGAAGCTTTGCAACTTCTTCTTCCTCGAGGAACATTTTCAACGCAAGCACTTGCTTTTGATTTAATAGTGAAAAGACTAACTATTTTATCAAAGGTTTTGAAAGCTCTCAAAATTATATTGCAATTACTCAAGGCTAACTTTTATGAGAGAACACTTGAACGTTGAAGCTCTTTGGCTTTTTATCATGGATAACTACTAATCTTAAGACATTGCAACCTTGTCGCAGTCTTGCTAATGAAAGACATTGCAACCTTCCTTGCCAACCTTGCGCACACAATCCTTGTCACCACTTCACAACCTTCTCACCACCTTGCCAACATTGTCACGGTCTGACCCACCTCGCAATTGCATCCCTCGCGCCTTGCCACGGTATCACCGCAGCCATGCCCCTTACAACTTTACTGCAACCTCATCCACCTCGCAACTGAGACCGGATCTGCTCCTCACGTAGGGCGCCTAACACGCACATCCTATCATGCATTGGAAACATCTCCCTCCCGTACTTCTAAGTAATTGTTTACAGGAGATGTTCCCAATGCACAATGGATGTGCATGTGAAACGCCCAAGTGTGAGGAACACATCCCATTCCCTCGCACCTTGTCACGGTCTCACCGCAGCCTTACCCCTCAACCTCCCTTTAGCCTCTCCTAGCTCCCCGTTCAAATCAACCTCATCCTCCCCTCACAGCATTGTGCTTAATCCCCAATTTCACAGTTCACACTTGAGTTGGGCTCGGACCCAAGCCAAGCTCGGGTTCGTCAATCAACTCACTAAAATTTCATAAAAATGTATGCATGATGTATACATTTATGTATATATGTATATATGCAAACATACGTCTATAGATGCATATATGTATGCACAATAATCGGACTGGGATCATATTGGGATAAGGTCCAGCTAAACTCCTCTACTAAGTATTAGGTTTGGACCTAACCCCCCCCCCCCCAAAAAAAAATAAATAAATAAATAAAGAAAAATCTAAACTTATGAGCACAAGCCCAGCCAAATAAGCAAGGTCCAAAATATCGATATGCCCGATATGCCGGTAGAGACATCTGTAGTTTTTTTTTTTTAAATCCAGTTCAGAGGGGCCAGTGTTTTTTTTTTTAAAATATCGATATGCCCGATACATCCACCCCCTGAACCGGTTAAAACCTCGATACACTCTTACACCCTATGTAGGGGCATATTAGAGAGCACCCTATGTAGGGGCATATCGATACTTATCAGCCGATACGGACCAATACATATCGATATTTTGAACCTTGTTAATTAGTAGTAACTAAAAATCAAAGCCCAACCAGTGTAAAACAGAAGGCTGGGTCGATATGGGATGAGGTTGCACCCCTATTCATGGGACAATAACGTCATCCAAAACTGACTGGCAACAATAAAAAATTACATCTTATAAACAGCGGCTTTTTCACCACTTTAATGAAGATGGAAACTCAAACTCTCAACAATCGTCTAGGCTGAAGATTAATGTTCTTAGAAGTGAGAACGTGTGGCGAAGAAGTAAAATCAACAAACAAATCATCCACTAGCACATGATACGATTTGGTACATATCCACTGATACAAGTTCAATATGATATTGATAGCATTGCACTTGTGTCAATATTAAACTCTCGTTACATGGCAAAAGTCGTGTTTTATGTTTGACTACCAATTAAATACTTTGGTCAAAATTGCCTATTGAGAGATATTTTTTCCTCAAAACAATAGTTTTTGGACAAATGAGGTGAGAAAATTAAACTAAATACAAACAAATATCGTATAAAAACAGAGTGATAGCGAAGTATAAGATTCACCAAAAGAATTCATATAATTCACAACAATTGCAGTCATTTGAGCATCTAACTCGGATGGTTAAAGAATCTAGCACCTGCACAGATCATTAGGAATGACATCAGTCTGAGAAAATTCACCGAGTAAGAAGGTAAATGCAAATAGATTATCTATTTCAAGTTAGAAAGGGAAACAAAGAAAACCACCATTTCAAGTAATATTAATTTCTATTAATTTATTAATTACCTATAAATGCCATGCATTTTCACCTTTAGAGTCGAATTGAAGGAAACAAAACATAATATTCTTATCTATTCAATAAGAAATCTATTAACTGCAATATATAACTTTCTAACTAAAACAGGTATTACATACCGAACCTAGCGCAGATAATCAAGGTGTGGTCTGACCACCAAGTATAAATGCATGGATCAGACTTTGAGCAGCCCGAGTCTGATCAGGTGTCCCAGATACAACAACTACTCCATCGGTAGCCGCAGACCTTGGGTCGTGCACTACTACCTTAGCACCTGATATCTGTATATACAAAAAGGTCAATATCAAGCAGACATTTGAAATGAAAACTAACAATAGGTAACTACAACTTTGATTACTTGATTGTATTAACAGTACAAGTACACCAACCTGCCTAATCTGATTAAGGTTACTATTGTTCTCCCCATAAACATTGATCAATAATGTCTGAGGTACCATAACCTCAACAGTCATGCTTGTCACAACAGCTGCTTGACTTCCACTGCATAAAAGTTTGAAAAATATACAGTAAGAGAATAAATAAACCAAGCATTTCTCTTTATTAACATCCCTTCTTTTCTTTTTCTGCCATTTTGAAACTCTCTCCATCTCTTACTCGCCTATTTGAGCTTCAAAACCTACTCATTATTCAATCCATTGGCTTATGAAAACCAGCAACAAATGTGCCCAAACAAAATAAAACGACAGTAATTTATGCCAAAGAAACGAGTTGTCGAAGCGAGCCACAGGACAAAATCACTAATAAGTCAAAAGAAGCTCGCGTAGTCCTTCTACTCTCACAGCTCGCAGGCTCGCTCCTACAACTCCACTCGCAGCTCGCTGGCTCGCCCAATAGGGACAGGGAAAGGGACAAGTCAGTGTAGACTAGGTCTGCATGTTGAGCACTCTTTCCATCACCGGATTCCCTCTGCGCTGATTGATGCTTCCTCTCCAACTCAATGAGACCATACTACTGAATGAAAAGTAAAATAAACTACGGCTGTGTTTCTTTATGCTTCAAGATTTCTACTTTCAGAGCCCACATTTCAGTCTTTGTGCTTTGGGGTTTAAAGCTGTTTTGGCTTTAGATTATATTTTTAAAAGCAACTCTTACCAAACACTCAAAAACAATTTTTTGCTCATTTTTGTTTCCTACAGATCGAAGCTCAAAAGTAAAAGCTTATCCAAACAGATCCTATATCTGTCTATCAATATATAACATTAAAGTAGAAAACAAATGTTGTCTACTTAGTTACAAGTAGGCATCGATGCGAGTTAAGTACAGAATCATAAACAGCCTATACCTTCCAATAAGCCCATTTCTTGAAGTCAAGCTTGTTCCACTATCAGCAATGCCCCTAGGGTTTCCACTGCTAACTGCCTGAATGGAAGAAAAAGGAAATATTAAAACACAGAATGGAAAAACTATAAGCTAAAAACAAATCCCACTGCTTCAAACACATCTAACCCACCTGAGGTGCCCATGACCTTGGAGAAGATGGTGCATCAAACGTTGGACCATGTCCTGGTCTTTCGCTACTGTAAGGATAAGGTGCTTGATCAAAATGGGAGAGAGCAGGCTGCCGATCCACAGGCTGTGAAGGAAAAGCAGGACGATCCAGAACATGAGGAAGTCCAACTGAAGAAGGGTAATGTCCAGGAGAGGAAGGATCATGTCTTGGTCTAAAAATTGGTGAAGGCGCTTCCATGGAAGGAGATAAATATGTACTGGTACCAAGGCCTGGGATAGGGGGTTTAACAGGAAAAATGGTTTCCCTAAGTCGGTTTGTAATATGAAACAATGCATCTTGTACAGACTGTAAGCTGCCAATAACCTGCCAGCAAGCACCAAGTATTTGATCTGTTATAGGGCCTCCATAAAGAAGTAAAAGATTCATAATTGCACACTAAGATGAGCAACCAACAAAATGCATGATGAAAGATGGGTTAATTACAAGTACCCCTGACTATCTGACAATTACTTAAAGTACCCCTTAGGTTTCAGAACCTACTTAAAGTACCCCTAAAGTTTCAGAATTTCAATTCGTGTTGAGTCTTGCCATTAAGTTGGATAAAAAGACTCTTTTGCCCTTAAATATTTTCAAAATTCCAAAACACAACATCAGCGCATACTGTGATTTACTAAGAGATCTGGCAATGCATAAACCGTGCTTTCCGTAATCAGCAATGATTCTTTTAACTTGCCAAGGTGGCTCAATAGAACCCGGTAATAGAAGATTGATGACGAGACAATTCAAGATCTGTGATTTTTGAGATCTAGAGAATTTGGGACCAAGATAACATGATATTAATATAAAGCTTCATACTTGGTAATTGAAGCTTTGTTGGTTTTGTAAACTAACTGGTCTGTGTAAATGTTACTTAATGTAATAGCTTCAAATAAAAACAAAATTGAAGCTTACCTAACTAGAACTTTTTGAAAATGAACCAGAGATCACAGGATGATTTCCTATTGATAGAAAGGTGCAATAGTTTAAGGACATGATTGAGAAGCCAGAGGGTGTATCGATCATCAGCATGAACGAGGAGATTCAGGCAAGATGATTCATCAAATATCAACAAAGGAAGACCTTAACTTTGTTAGAGAAGTGTTACGTTGAGGAGATGATTCACCAAATGTCAATAGAATAATTCCAACATCAGGTACTCTTTTTCACACCATTGCTAGAGTGTCCAATCCTTAAAGCAAATTAGAGTTTAAGAAAAAGAAATTACTCTAAGTTCAACAGAATCAGTATTCTACTTAATCAGAAAACGAAGAGAACAAGACAGAAGGCCTTGACCATATTTTCCCAAAGCTGTTGTTGAGAAGTAATTAGTCAATGAGCTGGATTTTGGCAGTCTCGCCAGATATTGTTCATCTTGATCGAATTCTAACGGGATTCCAGCAAGTGCAAGTTGAACGAAGTTTTTGAAATTTAAATATCTCAGATCATTTGGCCTCCATTGTTCGTTTCTTTAACTTTAGAAGAAAACAAAGCTTCTGTCCAGCAATGGATGTTGGTCTGGGTCAGCAATGATCCTCCCAGGCAATAAGTCTGTTATCCTCTACACTGGCATCAACACCCAGAATCAGCAGGTTCAGAACATTGCAGTCCCCAAGAACCTGTCCTACCTCAGGGAGTGGGTTCAGAACATTGTGGTGGCCAACATCTATTGAAAACCCAACATCAATGGATGTTGGCCTTGCTTTGTGTGTGTTTTCTCAATAGGAATATAGTCAATGGTGACTGGAGAGGGTTAAATTGGGTTTTCATAAAATTTTAAGTGTCACATGATGTCACATGTAAGCGGAATGTGACAGCCAGCTAATAGAAGGGTAGTGTCATATTACGTCATACTTCAGGTAAGTAGGTTTTGAAACCTTAGGGGTACTTTTAAGTAATTGTCATATAGTTCAGGGGTACCTTAAGTAATTAACCCTAATAAGTCCCGAGGCAATTTCCAATCCATTTTTCCCATTTTAGAAGGCAATGAAATGTAGACATGACCTTATAAATGGGCTTCTATTAATAACCTGACCAAACCTGCTCAAGTGAATACAAGGCTGGCTTTTTAAATCCAGTTCAAGGAAAATGTTTGACAGGACATTTAAAGTTTAAGTAATGCTAGTTCAAGCAAAACCACACACCAAAACCCTACTAGTTCAAATAGAAAAAATCATCCATGGTGGTTTGTATTACTAATCTGGTAATAGGACATGCATAAAACTTATCAATTCTATCTGCATTGTACAGGTTTATCAGGTATAAAGCTTATCAATGCTTGAGTTTGTTTCTTTGTATAAGATAACACATACCAAACCAATATGTGGAGGTAAAAGTGATGCAAATAGGAATATGAACAAATTCTCATTGCTCTAATTGGGAAGCATAGGAAGAAAATGCAAAAGATAAGGACTTGAAAAGGGTATATCTGGAAAGTTTGTATTCCAAGTCAAATATCCATTGAACACTTGATAGAAAGAGATGGAAAGGGGTGACGGGAGAGGGCTTCACATTTAGAGGTGCATAATTTGACCCCTGTATAGGAACACCTTTGTTCCTTATATCCACTTAGAGGCCTTTGTGCGATTGTATATTTTATACAACATATATACAAGACTGTTTAGGCTGTCAACAGTTTGACACCTACTCTCAAGCATGAGTTCTACTTGTTCTTGTTCCCATGATTCCAACCTAGAGGCTTCGATTGTTATAGGTTTTCATGGTATCAGAGAAATACTTGAGGGGCATATGAAGTTCATTCTTGGTTTGCAGATTGGCTATTGAAGAATCAGATAAATAGGCATTATGCTAGTCTCATTTTGAAGAAGTATGCTTGTGAAAATTCATTTATATGTTTCTGGAGTTTGAAGATTGATTTCTTGATACAACTCAGTCAAGTCTTTTTAAAAGACCATTTCTCCATTTATGCATGTCATACTTGTGCAAGGGCTTTGCTAAAAATCTGCAATCTGTAAAAGCATGGAGGATAGATTTTGGTATTCACCACTGCTCTGTCTCAATACTAATCAGTTTACATTGAGACTTCATAGCTTTTAATCACCCAAAATGTAGGAAATTAGATGTGAATACTGATCTGAGTTATGATCTCAGACCTTGTGAAAGAGAGTGGATAAGCAGAATAGCAGGATCAAGATACCATTGTATGCATACAGAATTCAAGCATCTCACTAAATCTAGCGAGCTCCTTATGAGGATCTCAAGACAACTATCAGAGATTGCAGTGTTCCATCGTAAGGTAAGGCAAGTGCGATCTCACCAAGGTAAAACAACTACGACCAAACTAAGACTAGCAAGATCCAAGAGTCTCGTGATGCTGTCTCCCAAGTAGTGTGCAATCTAGCGCCAAGAATACTTTTCCTTGATATATTTTCAAAGAGCCCGTCTGACGTGAGATCCATGACATTGTGGGGTGTTCGGATCAAGACACGTGATGGAGGTCAAGAAGATTGTGCATAATGGTACCACATGTGGAGGTAAAGGAGATTGTGCAAAATGGTACCTTCCAAGACACGTGTTGCTTTCTGAATGATCCTGAAGAACATGGTATAACCAACTTGCAGCACTCAAGGCATGCATTCTCACTGGAGAGAAATGTGGGATTTGCCTCCTGCTTGTTCATTAATGGCAGGGAAGATTTTGGAAGGTTGGAGCCATGCATGTTGCATGGCGGCCTTTTCCAATAAATAAGGAGCCAAGTTCGTTGCCAAGGACCTATTTCCTTCTTCCCATATCCTTAGCTTTCAGACTTAATCCCTTTCTACTCTCCATGCTCCTTAGCATTCAAATCCTGACTTTAGAGCTTCCAGACTAACCTTATCTCATTGGCTTACATTGAGAATCTCTGGTTCAAGTTCTATCTTGGGAGGAGCTGATGGATTATCTCATTGGCTTTCAGAACAATGGAAGGACCATCTTCACATTTGACTAAGGAGGACCTGATGGATTGCCTGCAGTCTGTCATCACAGGAATGAGTAAGTCCAAGTTTGCTACCTACCAGAGGCCTTACCCACTGAGCATTGCTCAGAAGCCTTATCTGCCTAGATACCACCCACCAACAACTTGGCAACTTTATGATGGTCAACAAGGGAACACCCAAGAGCATATCAACAAATTCAAGAAGACCTTGGGCCCTTTTTCTACTGATGGAGATTTGAAGGTGAGAGTTCTTGAAGACCCTAACCAGGCCAGTGTATACTTAGTTTGTGAATCTCGCACCTAACAGTGTCCAGAGTTGGGAGGATTTGGTGGAGCTCTTAACCAATTGACTTGATGTTGAGAAAAGACAGAATATGGTGGACTTGAGGAATCAGGAATGTTCACCAAAACAATGTGGAGGATCAAGTGTCTTTTCTAATGAGGTTCCATAGAGCCTCGCAGCAAGTACATGACAACATGTAAGGCAGAAGGATTTTGTGGATGAGTACACCAAAGGGACCATCCAGGATATCAAGTGTATTTGAAGACTGCACATACAAGACTTTTCAAAATTGTGGGAGTGCACTGAGTAGATTAACTGCTCAATCAAGAGACCAATAGAGCAAGATGGAGATCATGCCAGAAGGCTTATGCCAGGGACTCGAAGACAAGCAAATTCCCTGGTGGGCGACACAAACCGAGAAGATTGCCTAGGGGATTTCCTGTGAGATCGGACTTTAGAGTCCCTCCCCCTTTCCCTTGTTCCAATAAGGAGGTGATTCTAATTATGAAGAGATTGATAGAAGATGGCAAGATCGAGCAATCACAACCCCAATACCCAACCACAAAGGAAGAGTAGTCTAATGTCACTTTCATCAAGCCACAACACACAACCTGATGGATTGTTACTAATTGAGGAAGTTTTTCGAGCAGCTAGTCAGTATAAAGGATTATGTGCAAACCCCAAGAGGAAGCATTGTAGAGACAGATCCCCCCCCTCCCCATCCCCCCAGCAAACAACATTAATGCAGTAGGGTAGCAGTCTTCTACAATGCAGCAGAAGAACCTCTAGTAGCAAGGTTCACTAGAAACTTGCATCTACAACAATTCTTCCAATCGAAGGCAATACTGATGAAGCTGCAACAGAAGGTTATAAGAGTATTGGTCAGACTGAGGTGAGATGGAAGTAATGGAGCAGGAGGAGACATTTGAGTGGGAGGACATGATGGTTAAGGACCTCAAGGACAACAAGCCACTATACATCTCAATGAGGTTGAATGGTTATGAATCCAGGAGAGTCCAACATGTGAAAACTTATCATCAGTGCCAGGTCCATGCACCCTTAATACACCAACTTGCATACATGGTTTAAAATGTCCATAAATTCCCTAATATTTCCCCATTTCCATGGGTAACAACACAACACAAAATTTTACTAGAATTGACATATTCCCTAATGAACACTACTAACACTGTGGAGTATAAGAGATAGTTTGCACAACAAACTTTCATTTCCACTTCCATGGGTAGCAACATGAAATTTTACTGGAATTGACATATTCCTAGCGAACACTACCAGCACTATATGGAGTACAAGAGAGTATTATAACATAAGTTGGTGACACTATTATAGATATGTGAAGTAACAATGTTATTGCCCACCTAACTTACATGGTTACCACTTTGAGCTATCCCAATACTCATTTCAAACATGAAGTTAAATAATAGTTTTTTTTTTTGTAAATTTGGTTGATCTATTACAACCAATTATATTTTCTATTTGTTTAAATTTTGCTTTAACTCATTCTATCAAGAAGCTTTGAATCTTAAGGTTTACAAGACAACTTCAGAACATATTCTTCTGTCTATAGCCTTAGCTTCTTAGCTTTGTTTAATGATTTGGAAAGAGATAATAATTTAAAAAGGCGTGTGTGTGCTTCTTTTATCATTTCATAAAATATCATTTTTTTTTGCATATCTGACAATGTTTCCACCATGTCTATAATAATTACACTATTTCTATATGATATTTTCAACATTTCTTACATGTTTCCTATATTTGGACGACGGACTTTTTCACTAACACTGACATTTTAAACATTGCTGCACAGCCACTGAATGCAATCACCACACCTGGCCTTTCCATACCTGGCAAATGGATCTCATAGGGAAAATTAGACCATCATCTTGGAGGGTACCATTGGATCCCGGTTGCTACAGATTATATACCTTTAAAGACTGTAACTGCTAGTAATGTGACTAATTTCATCAGACAAAATATCATACACAAATTTAGAATACCAAAAGTTACCTCAGACCATTGTCCTATTAAGTTAGGTCTTGAAACCTTCTTGAGTGATCAGGCTTTGACAAGATCAGATGGCTAACATCAAACACATCAGTCACAGCTCAATGGAAAGAAGATCGGCAAATGGATTGCGAAGTTCTTTAGCTAAACAAGGGGTACATAGGAATCAGATTTGTTGGGCTCAGTTGTAAGCTTGTTGGTACAGTTTAGAGGCGTCACCTCACGCCTCTAAATGGGATCTTGTAATATGTATCCCTTGTGATCTTTTTAATAAAATCTTTATTTTCTATCAAAAAAAATTCTTTAGTGATCCTATACCTTTTAGATTTGAAAATGTGTGGCTTACTCACCCAGATTTTGTGTAAAAAGTAAAGATTTGGTGGAAGGAGCTGAGGGAGTGAAGTGAAAAGGTGTGAGATTTCATTAAAAACTGAAGAGATTGAGAAAGAGAGAGATGAATAGTGATCATTTTGGGAGAACCATTACTAAAGGGGAAAAAAGAGTTAAGATGATTGGAGACTTAGGAAGGAATTGGAAGAAGTCTCATTTAGAGAAGAGATTTACTAGAGATAAAAATCCAGATATAAATGAATTAAGGGGATGGAAATACAAAATTTGTCCATACACTAGCAAATGGGAGAAGACAAAAAAAATGTTGTGGCAAAATTGGAGGTGGATAGGCAAGAGATTTCAATACAAGACGAAATTACAAAGATATTTGTGGATTATTTCAAGTCCATATATAGGAGGCCTTTGAACAATGGAGTGAGGTTGGAAGGGCTAGAGTGGCAATTGGAGAAGGAGAGATTGTGCCATGAGGTTGTGGCCAATATACATGGTAGGTTGGGATTTGGTTGGGATGCGGGTGTATCATGAGGCTACTTTAGCATCACCGTGGAAAGCTATTCATGGTATCCTTCATCAATTTCTCGGTTTGATCAAGAATGATGTTTGTTCTAGGGATTCACTCAAGTTTTGGGAGGACGTTTAGGTCGATTCTTCTCCTCTAAAGGACCTTTCCCTTCTTTGTATGTTGCCTCTTTGTAAAAGAATGAGTTTCTTTTGAAATTCATTGTTCATCTATTACTTCCTGTGGGTCACAATTAGGAATTTGGGTTCCAAAGAGGCCCAAGGGGTGATGAGTAGAATGCTCTCATGGGTCTTTTACAAATTCTTCATAGTGTGTATTTAGACCCCTCTAAACCAAATAGGCATATTTGCACCCCCCATTCTAAGGGTTCATTCTCGTGTGCTTCTTTGTTCAAGTCACTTTACTTCTCTTCAGTCCCTCACGTTTTCCCCAATAAAGAGGTTTGGTGTAGATCATTCCATCTAAAATTGGGAAGTGGTTCAAGCAAAGATTAACACTTTGGATTCATAACAAAAAAGAAGACTCTCTCTATGTGTATCTCCAAACTGGCATGACTTCTGTAAATCCAATGGAGATAGTTGTTACACCTACTAATCTCTTGTTGTTGTGTTGCAGATATCAGGGATTAATTTTTCTCTTTGTTTGGGTGCAAATGGAATCTACCAACAGAGGTTAACATGTTATTTGATCCTTCTACCTTTGCTTAGCCCACAAAGAGGGGAAGAACTATGTGGAGATGCATGAGAGCAGCCTTGGTTTGGACTACATGGGAAGAAAGGAATGCAAGAATATTTTCAAAAAATGGGAGAAGCAAAGAAGAGGTGAGAGATTGTGTCTTGGCCAAGGTGATACATGGATTAAGGACTTTGGACTTGTTCTCACAATTCTCTATTTTGATGATGTTTGGAGGAATTGGGAAGTGGTGGCTAGAAGCTCCTCTAAGAAAGAAAAAGTAAAATTTGTATGGATGCCTCCTCCTGAGGAGCATGTGAAGTTAAATTTTGATGGAAGCAATCAAGGTAATAGAGACAAATCATCAATTCTATTCTTTGATTGACAGTGAATAATTTCACTGAAAGAAGAGGAGAACATACATCCAGAATTAATCAGTTCAAATTCATGAAGCATAAGAGGCATGGAAAACAAGAAGTACCTAAGCAACTGAAAGTCATGAACCACTCCAACTTGTATAAGCAATTTATTGATGTGTAAGTATAATAAATACCTGCACAACATCATCATTTGGTGCACCACTTTTTGGGATTTGTTCCTTTGAAAAAATGCGTATACTTGCACCTGTTGTTCTTCTCATTTCAGCAACAATACTACCTCCTTTGCCTAATAAACAACCTACCTGCTGTGAATGTACAAGAAGCCTAGCAACAACTGCAGCACCTGGTTCAAATCCTATCTCTGCAATTCTAGCATGGGCACGAATAACAGCTTCCTGTGCAGGAGAATGCTTTTGTTCTGAATTCTGCAAATCACAGAGTACAGAATATCAGTAAAAAAGACAGCAACAGTGGAAAAACTAAATTAGATCTACAGAGCCAATCAAACAAAGAAATCTTATGATATCCATAATGTAGATAATAAAGACAGATCTATAAATGCAACACCAGTACAGTTGGGATTAAGCCTGACTTCAGTTGAGAATGATCAGAAAAGAAAGGCCAGCTCAGAGATAGAAGTCCACATTCCAAAGGACAGATATTATAATAAGCTGATTTCATGGATTTCCATAAAGGAAAATTTTCCATGCTGGCATCACTGTTTATTTTTCATGTTTACCATAATTAAAAAACCATCTATAATGCCCTACCAGAAAGACACATTACATTTCACAACAATGTATTAAATAAGTTTCCAGAATGCTGGCAAAAGTATTAGAACAGAGGAGATATTTTTGTAACCATGCCTCTCTTGCAGATATGATGACAGCCCGCTCATCTGAATCAGGTGCTGCATCAGCAATCTTGATTGATGCTCCTGTTTCACTTTGCAAAGCCCGTATAATTGCACCACCTTTCCCAATCAAACCAGCAACCTTGTCAAGTTGGCATAACAATCTAAACACCACTTCCTCTTCTAGAACCTTCCTGTGATTTGGTCCAATACCCTCTGATCCTGGAACCAAAGAATAGCCCCTGGAATGATAGTCAACGGCATGGAGGCCAGATACATAGCCCCTCTGAGGAAATGTGTCCACCACTTGTGCAGGCATGCCATTTCCACGGTGCACTGTCCCTAGTGGCTTAGAAGAGGCAGAGTTGGTTGCATCAACCCTAGGGTTATCTTGGAGGCAACTCGAAACAGACAAGAGTGCTCTCTTCACAGCTGAAAAATTCCCTGCTATCTGTTGACCAGAAACTCAGCAATAAGTTTGAAAATAACTACAACTAAACAAACCTGAGAATATAATGCTTTCAATGGGAAAAGCTTGGCTGTTCTAAAAAACAGTCTAGGCTGTTTTGAAGTTTCCTGCACATGACACATTACCGCACTTAGTTCTTTATTTGTTTTTTAATTAAAAGAATATCAATTGCAATTGCTACCCCAAACCCATGCTAATGTGTCATATGCACATGAAGCTTCAAATCAGCCCAGGCCGTTTCGACAAACTTATCCAGGTTATACTGGAAGGTTGCATTTAAAAAAAAAAAACAGATAAGTTGAATTAAGAAGAAAATGATTTAACAGTAAATAAATAATACACACTGCAATCATCATCCCATGAAACCTTAAGAAATCATGCAAAATCACATTCTTTTTAAAAGGAAAAAATCTCCAAAGTCATTGTATAGAACAATGAAGACTTGAAGAGGATTGACCTCTCATCCCCCTGCTCCCTGGTGTGAACAAAATGTTTCTTTTTATCATTTCTCTAACAATCTGTCAAGTGGATGGTCCATGTAAAAAGTTCAAAAGAGCTTACAAAAGAAAGGGGATCAAAGGCCATATACGTTAAGTATATCAGTTTAGAGTCCAGAAGAGGTGAAGATAATGCTTTTTGTGTTAAAATGAGTTAGGGTGAATTCCATGCAGATCATAAGCTGTAGATCCAACCATCTTGTGGGGAATCTATGAAAACTTCATTAGATGAAGTGATTCAAGTACAGAAAAAGATAGAGATTGAGAAAATGATGGAAAGTGAGGTTCAAGTGGGGAAGAGTCTATAGTTGTTCTCTCTAGGAGGTGAAGAAAATTATTTTGGAACTAGATGAATGAAAGAGAATTAAGGATTCTGAATTTACAAACATGGAGTAGGGTAGCAGATGGCTGGCGGTGTTGTTAAGGATGAGAGTGGTGGTATGGGTTTTGAAGCTATCTTGGAAAGGAAAAGGTTTATCTTAAGAGGCCAGGAATTGTGTTGTTATTACTACAAGGAGTCTGTCGTGAAAAACTTCTCATTGCATATTTGCATCAATTTTGTAATGTGGCCTATGACCAGTAAAATATTAAATAGAGAATAAATAGAGAGAGTAGAATAAAACAGGGAACAGAAAGAGAGAAAAGAATAGTTCAATGGGGAGAAGAAAATCACTCCCCTCCAGCAGTGATTAATATTTATACTAGAAACTTATTATAAATTTCAATAACCTGATCACAACTACTTAAGTAATTTAGAGTAGATGGACATAAATACCCTGCTGCCCACTCCAATCTATATAAATATTTTATCACATACATTCTATCTTGCTATAGATTTAATCCGTCCCAATTTGACTTGGACTCTTCTTGAACAGTCGGAAAAATGGTCTTCAGACTTGACAAAGATGTTAATTCACCATTTGTAACCTTCCCCCTCACAAAGTGGCAGGCCAAATCAATATGCTACATCCTCTCATCAAAAATAAGGTTGGATGCAATATTTTATTCTGATGATAAAAAATATTAAAAAAGGAAGAGAAAACAAAGAAAGGCAACCAGCAGTCACCTTAAAGAAGAAGCAACAAAATTCCACCTTCACAAACCAGCACCTACCCCTCAAGCAAACTTTAAAATTAAAAACCCAAGACAAACCAGCCAAAACCAAAACAAACATGCACCAATCAACAAGCATACTTCTACACTACCCCTAGACACTACACTTTGTTTTTTGCTCTTCCAAGTGACTAGTTTGCCCTCTAGGAGTGTGCAGTGACAAGTAGTTGGCTGCCTATCCAGCAAGGAACAAGCCTAATTGTCATCCTTTTATATACTTCCAATTTCAGTGAATCACTTTCTGTATAACCACTGTCCTAGTACGCCTATTATCCACATTAACTAAAAGGTGGTACAGGCCATGGCCCTATACTTCTACACTACCCCTAGACACCACACTTTTTTTCTTGCTCTTCCAAGTGACTAGTTTGCCTCCTAGGAATGTGCAGTGTCCAGTAGTTGACTGCCTATCCAACAATGAACAAGCCTAATTGGCACCTCTTAATAGACTTCCAATTTCAGTACATCATTCTTTGTATAACAACCAATGTCCTAGTACACCTTTTAGGCATCACAAAACTCCAACAACTACCTCCCAATATGAAGTCTTAGAACTACATAAATTGGCTCAATACCAACTAAAATTTGCTACCTGCAGGAGTCATCAAGTAGATCTCCCAAATCACCAATGTATTTGTATTTGGTCCATTGGTGTCTATTATTTTTCCTAACATGCTTGTCTTTTCTAACAAAACAAGTACATACTTTCTTTATAATAGGTTTATCCCATACTTTGATCTTGCTACCACTTTCCCCAAGAAGTACTTTAGCTGCCCTAGCTCTTTAGTCTAAAAATTCAACTATAGGAAATTCTTCAATTCAAATAGGGGTGTTCACGGGTCAGTTCGGTTCGGTTCCAGGCTGTATGGCCAACTGAAACAACCTGGTCGGGTTGGGCATTTGGTCACCCGAAATAGACCAACCAATTATGAAAATTGGCCAACTCGGATTGTATCAATTCAATCGGATGGTTAAAAAGATTTAAATTTAAAAAATTATATTTAAATTTAAAGAATCACAATGGTATTATTAAAAAAAAAAAGTAAATTAAAAAAATTAAAATTTACAATACAAAATACTTTAAAATAGGAAATATGGGAATTTTCCCACTTTCCCATATTAAAAAATATAAATTTAAAATAAAAAATATTAATATCTATGGTCAGGTCGGGTCGGATTTGGTCGGTTTACAAACGGCCAAACTGAAACCAATCGGACTTCGCGGTTAGCATAAAAGTTAAACCAAAACTAACTGAAATAATTAGTAAACCAGCCAGCTTGGGTCGAGTTGGGTCAGGTCAGTCGGTTTCATCGGCTTGATGAACAGCCCTAAATTCAACCATACCCCGTACATCACTTTGTCAACACAAATTTCGTGTATAAATCCAAATACAAGAAAAAGTTAAGACAAATTCAAATGAATTGATTTTTTTATATATATGAAATCGATGTTTTAAAAGTGTAGGGCACAAAAAAAGCGCAAGGGTCATTTTTGTATGAGGCGCAAGGAGAGGCAAGTGCCTTTTCGAAGAAAGGCACAAAATGCCAAAAAAAAAAGAGCTAAAAATTTTTCAAAAATCAAAAAAGAACAAAACATTCAAAAAACAATTTTTTTAAATTGTAGAGTGGTTCATTAATAAAATCAACTATAGAAAACCCCTGTACAAAGAGAAATGAGCATAGAATATACAAAAAACCATAATTCATCAAAAAAATATACAAAAAACCATATCATCCCAATACAGCCTCAATCCCCCCAATCAAAAAACAAAAAACCACCCATTCCTTACTAACAGAAAACTAAATTCAAAAAATACACTTGGATGTCTACCTTTAAACTTCGGGTGTATTGCCAGCCATGAGTGGATCATCCCCAGAATTTTCCTCGGTACATCTTTTGAGTTCTGAGTTCCTTCAAATATTCTGTTATTTCTTTCACTCCACACTGCTCACATAACAGAAGCGGAGATAATGCTCCATGCCACCTTTTCAGCCTTACTTAGACCTCCCAGCCACCAAGCCTCTATGAGTCCCTTTACATCTGTTGGGAAGCACAGCTTAGCCCCAAATAAATCCACCACTCCTAACCAAACCCAGTGGGTAAAATCACAGTGCAACAGCAAATGCCTAGAGGATTCCACATTCCCACTACATAGGGGCAAGCCATGTCTGCCACTTCTACCCCTCTTTTGACTAAATTCTCCTCGGTTAGAATCTTGTCCAGCACTGCTGACCAAACAGGAAAAAGGTATCTTTGAGATCAATTCAGAAGCACTTTATTTTATTTGTTATTATAGCGGACAGAATTCCATTGGTCTAATTCGGGACTCTCCGATGTATCTTTACTCTTTCTACTCTCCAAACATAYCGAGATAATACCGAAGTGGTCCCTAGATTTATTTGTGGTCGTTGAGGATCCGTATGAGGCTGAAGTCTCATGTACGGTTCTGTAATAGCGATGGGAACAGTGATGTTATYACCGACTATAATTATCTAACAGTTTAAATACAGTTGATATAGTTGAGACACAGTCAAAATATGGTTTTTGGGGTTGGAATTTGTGGCGGCAGCCTATCAGATTTGTCGTTTTTCTAATTTCTTCCCTAGCAGAATGTGAGAGATTACCTTTTGATTTACCAGAAGCAGAGGAAGAATTAGTAGCAGGTTATCAAACCGAATATTCAGGTATAAAATTCGGTTTATTTTATGTTGCTTCTATCTAAATATACTAGTTTCTTCATTATTTGTAACARTTCTTTACTTGGGCGGCTGGAATCTCTCTATTCCGTACAATTTCATTCCTGAGCTTTTCGAAATAAATAAAGTGGGGGAGGGGGTCTTTGAAACAACAATTGGTATCTTTATCACATTAGCTAAAGCTTATTTKTTCCTGTTCATTCCTATCGCAACAACATGGACTTTTGAAGGCACAGCTTTAATCCATAAAATAATATATTAAACATAATATTAATTCAAAAATCCAAACTTAAATTTTAAAATAAATGTTTAAAAAAAAAACCTATTAATTCAAATTAAGATACATAATCGTAACATGTAAACATATTTAAAATGAAAATTTAAAAATAAAATCAAGCATAACATAGAAAACATACTTAAGCATGTAAAACTCTCGATCTCTTTATTCTTTTCCCAATTGCATTACTTCAAATAGCTAATGTGATGATAAACATTATGCATTCCTAATTCTACGAACCACCTTTTGCACCAAGTCCCTTGAGGCAAGCCCAAACAAGTCCATATTAAGGAGGTGGTTTCTGGGGAAGCGGTGAGTTAGGGAAACTTCAGACACCTCATTTCAAGCTGGGGGTTTTGAAAGAGAGAATATTTAAGCAGAGCCGAAGAGTTGGGACT